AACAAGGAAAATTTTAATTTCATGCTCTGATTAGTTACTCAGCATAGTTAAGGAGAGATCCAAAGAAAAATTTAGTGTTTAGGCTTTTTCGTTTTCAAAAAATGCTGTTTTGTTTTGTGTATATATTGATTAGTTTATTTTTTTTTTTAAATCACGAAGCTCGTTGTTTTATATCGTTTACAAATATTCAGTGATTTTATTATCACGACTTTGAAGCTTTAGCTAAATACTATGGGGCAGAAGTTATATAAAAGCTGAAACATTTCTGTTTAGTAATTTATGCAAATGACTATAAAGAGATTATGGAAATTGCTATGAGTGAAAACTAATGTGAAAACTTCAATTTTAATGTTTTTAATGTTTACGGAAAGATAAAATAAGAGGTTTTTAGTCATTTATTGAATATTTTAATGTTGTAAACAAGCAGTCTTTTTACTTTCAAATAAAAGAGATATTTTTGGAATGTAAACACTTAACGCATTTGTTTCAGCTGTTTTTATGACGCTGCCCTGACGCGATTTATGTATTTTAGTGGTAGTTTTGATGCTTTAATTAAAAAAAGATTTATAAAAAAATAATAAATTATATAAGAAAAGCTTAAATTCTACTTTTTAAAAATACTAACAGTAATAGTCAAAAATAAGCTGAAAATACAAGAAATTGAAGTTTAAAAATGTAAATTTTTGTTTTTAAGAAATGCAAATTGTTTGATCTCTCCTCAACTATGCTAAGTAGTTAAGTTAAAAAAAAAAATTTTTAAACAACTCTTTGTAAAAATAGAAACAAAAAAAAAAATAAAGCAATTAAATCATTCCATTGCATCGGAAAATTTAGTTTAGCTTATTCATAATTTAATTTTTTTTTTGAATCTTTCTAAAACTCTTTTAATAGATTTTTAGAAAGATTCAAAAGATTTTTGGAAAGCAAAAACATTTAAATTTATCATAAAAAATACATAACAAAAACTTTATTAAATAACGTTATTTGTCAATTAACGCAAAATGCATTTATTTTAGACATTCACTATAAATAATTTTTTATTTTATTTCAAACGCGTAAAAAAAAAACTTTAGAAAAGATCGAAAATTAAAAGTTTTTTATAATGTAATAATTTTTAAAAACTAGTTTCTGGACAGTAACATACTTTGCAAACCGGTTACTAAATCCTCCAAAAACGTAACAACATATAGTGCTCTCGCAATATTTAATGACTCGGAGTTGTCACACAACAAAAATGGCTTCCCTGACAAAGACAAAACACAAATAATCTCTTAAAATTACAATTATTGGATATTACACCATATTACATCAAAATATTGAAGACAACTTTAACAAAGTAAGTTACTATGCTATAAATAATAGTTTAAATTGATATGAGATCCAAAACTAACAACGTTAGATAGCGTTAGATATTATGATTGCCACAATATGAAAGAGTCTTAAATTAGTACATGTTGTATTTTTGGTTATTTCTTAGAACAAATTCTGAAAATGAAGAGACAGCAAAGAATGTTCCACTTTGTACAGAAAGTAAGAAGAACTGCAGATACTCTGGATGAGACTGCTTTGTCTTCAGCTACTGATACTGCATCCCTGCATGATGCTATGGTAGAAGAAGAAACACATACTATATTAGTTCCTAATGCAATGCTACAAGAGAAAAATACTGATTTATCTCAGGATACTATGCTGCAGGAAGAAATGAGTACCACCTCAGCTCCCAACGCTGTTCAGCAAAAACAACAACTTCCATACTACCGGAGTATGAAGCAGTATGATTCATTTAAACAAAAATATAATGGATCATTTATGCAGAACAAAAAACTTGGTTGCTTGAATTGTGAAAAATTTAATTTTCTGAATATGAAAGGCATACATATTTCAATAGAATAGAAAAAGTGTCAAGTATTAGCATTAGGGAAGAACAAATCAACCCAGCAAGCTTCCCTCAGAAAGAAAATGAATGAACAATTTACATCCAAGGCTCATGCAATTTGTGCAAACATGATACCTTACCAAAAGCATTGATAAAGCTAATGAGAAGTGCAGCAGTTCAACATGAAAAGCTTTCAACACAATGTATTGCTTAGTAAAAAGGAGCAGGCTATTTAGTGATGTGGAAGACAAAATCGAACTCCAAATTAAAATCCGAATTGACATGGGTTTCTGCCTTCATTCCCGCAAATCTGCAGTAAAAATAGTATTTCACATTGCAAAGGACATTTGAGGTCAAATACTTTCAAAGATTATGGAAGAAGGCCGTAAAATATGTGTTATTGTCAATGAAGTCTCTACAATATCAAGTAAGCCTGTTCTTATAATCTATGTGAAAGTGGAAGATAATAAGCTTTTTCCAATGATTTTCCTGGGACTTGTGGAACTTGAAGGACAAGGAGGAGAAAACATACACAGGTATTTAGTAGAAACGTTAAATAGTGTTGGTTTTGGTATGGATTTTTTGAAAAAACTTTGGCATTGCTTAAGCCATCAGCTGCAACTTGTTTTGGATGATGCCATAAAGGAAATAAAACAAAATTAATCAATTCAAAATCTTTATGGATAAGATATATTCAATCTTTCACCAGTCAAACAAAAATCAAATGCAGCTTTACAGTATTGCTCAGCAGCTGGGACAAAAGATCCTGAAAATAGGCAGAATTTTAGGGCCAAGATGGGCTGCGTGTAGCTTGAGAGCAGCACAAGCAGTGTGGCGGAATTATCCTGTTCTGCATGAATTTTTCTGCAGCAATGCAAGTTTTTAGGAATGGATGCACGGATGTCTACCAAATATTTCTTAAATGACTTTTTTTTTTTTCTAATTCACCTCCTCAAGGCCAAGAAGGCCACTACAGACGAGGAGGCTACTTATTTGTGATTATAACTCTCTCTCAACTCTATAACTCCGAAACACAAACTTTGACGAACAAGGCCGATGCGCGGAGAAACGAGTTGAGCGCGGTACTACCAGGGACATGGTGGGGATCGAACTCGAAACCACTCGTTTATGAAGCGAGCGCTCTACCACTACACCACATACTACTTGGCACTCATGTTAGATATACTTGATACTAACATGAGTGCCAAGTCATTTAAGAAATACCATAAACTTCTCTTCTTTCAAATGCATTGCAATCGAGAAGTGTATCACTGCCAATGGTTAAGAAATTAATTAAGAGGACAGTAAAAGCATTTGATATGCTCAAGAAAGATAGAGGACAACATGAAAAAGAAGTTTATGTAAAACTCTGAAAATTTCAAGAAAATAGGTTTTACTGACAATTCTAAATTTTTCAATTTGCCAAGAGAGAAGCTAGAGACAATCATAAAGGTTCACATCTAGTGCATGATCTCATAAACTTGGTAGAACCTAAATCATGGAATATTGAACAGGTCACTATACCATGGATGGAGGTAGAAGAAAAACTTTGCATGTTTTAGGAAATTTTCTCCTATAAAATTGATGTTAATAATTTTAGAGACTTTGTTGAAAGTGCAATATAGAATGATGAAAACTACACCATACTACCAAGCATTAGAAAGGCTCTAAGTATTGTGAATATCATAGCTGTCAGTTCAGCAGAAGTTGAAAGAGACTTTTCAAAAATGAATATTATCTATTCAGATAAAAGAAGTAGGTTACTTCATGAAAATGTGAACAATTTAATGACTATAGATTTGCTGGGTCTACCACAGAAGACTGGGATCCCCAATCATCTGTAAAATCATGGCTGAGACAAAATCATTCTGCTGATGTATGTATGATGTATGTATGATGCTGATGATCTTGTAAAACCAAAAAAGTTGAAAATCTGCAATGAAAATCAAAATGCTATTTGGAATTACTTGAAGTAAATATGTGTGTGAATTGTATTTGTTTTATTTTTATTTTGTTTATATGCATATACTTACAATTGCAAATCTGTAGTACTTGGATGCATCATGCACCAAAAAACGATGGTAGTTCTAATATTTAAGATTTAATAAAACAAATTACTTTTGATTATTTTAAAACAAAGTCACAAACTACTTTTGATCAATGTTAATTGTCTTACATGATTTTTTATTTATATAAATATGATTTTTTTTTCTAAAAAAATAAATGCTAGTTAAATAAAACAACATTTATTAAATAAAAAGCATTATCAATTCTTTTTTTAAAGTCATTTTATTCTTTGTTTAGTAAATGAAGTTTTTTTCTTAACAAAGAAAGATTTATTCTTTTTAATAAATGTTTCTTCATTGTAAACAAAAGAAAAAAGTAATTAAACCTTGGTGCTTATAATTATGTTTAGAACACGTTTAACTTTAAAAATTTAACCATTTTTAAAAATTTTTTTAAAGCTTTTAAATGGCTTTTATTTTACTTAGTTTTTTAAGTTTACATTTAATCTATTTTCTCTTTCAATAAATTTCTTTGAAAATTTAGTAAAGTATTTTTTTTAGTTTGCTCTTTAGTTAGTTCAGCTTAGCTCTTTCAGTATATTTTTAAAACACTTAAATTGTTGGAACATGCAAACAGCCATGCTCAAGTTGACTTGACCATTGCTGACCATTAAAATATTTAATACCTGAACAGACAAAGCGTCCGCTGCACAAGCTTCATGTAACAGCTGGATATATATAGTCGTATCTCTTTAATTTAAATTTTATGGAGAAAAATAAAGTTCAACTTATAGCGATTTTCGATTTATAGAAAGTTGCCGATTTTTCAAATATGCTGCTTAACAAATAGAACAAAATTAACAAAGTAGAAATTAACAAACAACTAAATAGTGGTTCTAAGGCCTAAATATATTATTTGTTTTAAATTAATAGGCTGTAAATTAGGGAGGCTGGTTAAAAGTAGCATAACAAAACTGTGTTGTGCAAATTTTAAATTATGCAATTGCCAACTTAAAAATCACCATACCTAGAAATTTATCCTCCTAATAGACAGCCTGGAACCACCAAATCAAAAAAATCTAAAAATGGCCCTCCATTATTAGATGATCTGGCTTTGCCCTTATCCCAAATTGTGAACCCAAGAGTTTTTAATTTTCTAACAACCTCTAGTAATTCTTATTTACCTTAGACGATTAGGAAATATTGAGGAAACAATTTCAGTATGACAGTATGACAATAGATATGTGACAGCTATTTCAGTATGACAGAAATATGCATGTTTACTTTTAACTTTTTTATGAAACTGTTTTTTGCAGCCAAATTCTGTGATAGGCTTTTTCTAGTTTGTTGAAAAGTTGCACGGTATAAAAGCTGTTTACTTACTTAGCTGTTTACTTACTAGTTTAAAGTATTATTTTTTAGAAATATGTATTAACATAAACTTTTTTGAATAGTAGAGTTATGGAAATTTAATTCTGCATGGATTTCTTCAATGTAAAATTCTATTTATTATGAATTTGATTGTTGTTTAAAACTTACTTATTGATTGAACAAGTTTTTTAATATTGCAAAATTGCACTCCTAAAATAAGTTCTATTTAAACTAAAATAAGTTCTATTAGTAAGTAAACCTAAAATAAGTTCTATTTAAACAACACTGGATTTAAAAATTTTTCAAATTAAAAATATTTTTAGGATTCCCTTAAGAACTATAAAACATTAACAAACATAAAACCAAGCATTTAACAGGTACCTAATATTATCCAAAAAACTTTTTTATTTTTAGTTCAAAAATATCATTTTTTATGCAGTTAAATCTATATTTATTTAAATTGTAATTTTAAATATTAAAAGCAAATATGATGGGTAAAGAATGGTTAAGCCTTTAAAAATATATCAAACAAACATCTGTAAAAACTGAAGATATTAGGATAATTTTAATGTAGAAAAAGACTTGATTATTAATAACAACAGTATTACATTAATATTACTACTAATATTATTACTGTGTATTTGATTAGTAAATTACAAAATTTTTGATAGTATTAAAAGTATTACAATAATATTACTACTAATATTATTACTGTGTATTTGATTAGTAAATTACAAAATTTTTGATCAGAAATATAGGATTTTATGAAAAAAAAAGTAAAAGAGAGATGAATTAGATAAGTAGACATACATCAATTATAACTTCTAGCTCTCCTGGTAAACCAAAACATTCGCTAATATAAATCAAAAGGAAAAAAAGTAAAACCGAAAGAATACAACTAGCCCATTGTTTAAAAAAATACATTAAATCCATTGCATCGTAAAAAAAAAATACTTTTAACAAAATATTGTTTATATTTTTATCAATAAAGGCGCTCAATAAATGGAATATAAGTTTATTACTAGCGGTCCGTAAGCGATGTCATGTCCGAGACAAATGAAGAGTATCCAGCAGTTCTCTCTTTATCTCACAAAGAAGCTTTCGAAGCTACGAACGAGCTGTTACAGAAGCTATTAAATGATGCTTTACTTAAAGATTTGCCAAATGATGTTACATCTAAAGACCTAAAAGCCAAAATTGCTTTAGAAAAAGGAAGAGCTTTTATAGTTTATCTAAAGCGAGCAACAGAAACAGGGCTTGAAGATATACGTAAGTGAATAAATTTTTTTGAAATTAGCTATAATAAACAAATGTGTGTATATATATATGTATATATATATGTGTATATATATATATATATATATATATATATATATATATATATATATATATATATATATATATATATATATATATATAACAATAACAACAACAATAACAACAATAACAATATATATTCTGAAATAAAAGTTTACATTTCATGGTTGTTTACTAATAGTACAAGTACTAATCTAAGGTAAGCACCAATTAAATAATAATATCAATCATATTATAATAATAATGTAAATTAAATGAAGACGATTATAATAATATCAATAATACTATTAAATATAATAATGACAATAATAATGATTATATTAGTAATTATAATAACAACAACAACAATAATTATAATAACAATAGCAATAATAGCAATAATAACAATAATAATAGTATTAACAAATATCACATTTATATATTAAACAATTTTAATAAGTAATAATGATGGTAATAAAGATGTAAATAAAATGTAAGTAATATTAACATTACATATGATAATAATACTAATAACATTAGTAATAATAATCTATTATAAGCCTAAGATTTTAATTAGAGTATTTTTCTATCTAAAAGTCAAAAAGATGGGTTTTAAATTGTGAAAAAGAGTTGAGGGATTGAAAATGAAAAGGTAAAATATTCCAAAATTTTACGCATTGGTTTGTAATAGAATTATCACCGTATTTTACCGAACAGCGATTTGGGATAGATAATTTGAAGTTACTCAAAGATCGAAGGTAATAACGAGAACTTTTTTTAGTGGTAAAAAAAATTGAGAATGACGGAGGGAGGTTTACTTGTTTATGATTCCAGACAAATAGACAATTTAATAAATAAACAAGATCACATAATTTGAGTATTTTTGATAGAAAGTAAAGGATGTCAGAGTTAGAATGATACTGTTGAAAGAATATTATTTTTAAAGCTTTGTTTTGTAGGTTACATAACCTTAAAAAAGCATTAGACTTGCATTGTCCCTAAACCTTTTATACATTTTAGATTGATTTGATTTGAAAATAATAAGTTCAGTTTTGTTGGTATTAAGACTTAGTTTGTTAGAGCGCAGCCATTGAAGAAGGTTAGATTAATATGTTTGTTAATTTTTTTTTATGATTTGTTTGTTATGAGTAAGTTGGTGTCGTCAGCAAAATGGTAAGCCATTGAGAATTTTAGAGAGATATTAAGATCATTTATAAAAATAAGGAAAAGCAATAGTCCTAATACAGAACCTTGTGGTACACCCGTGGAGCATTTTATTGGAAAAGATTTGGCATCATTGACAAATTGCAATCTATCAAAAAGATATGATGATAACCATCGAAGTATTACCTCGAAAACCGTAGTGTTCTAATTTACTTAAGAGGATGGAGTAGTCAACAGAATCAAAGGCTTTCTCTAAGTCAAGAAATACTCCGCATGCAAAAAGTTTATTGTCAAGAGCATTTCTAACAGTTTCAGTTATTTTAATAAGTGCATGAGTTGTGGAGTGTTTGTTACGAAATCCATACTGATGTTTGTAAAGACATTGGTTTTTGTCAAGAAAGCTATAAAGCCTGTTGTACATGGCTTTTTTAAATATTTTGCTGATGTTAGATAAAAGAGAAATGGGTCGATAATTTCTGTGGTCCATTAGAGAGCCCTTTTTATGGATAGGAATAACTTTAGCTATTTTAAAAATATCTGGAAAAAGACCTTTATTAAAAGAATTATTCAATATGGTACAGAGAGGCTTGCAAATAAAATGAGAAGTAAGTTTAAAAAGGTGTGTGGGGATACTATTTGGTCCTAAACTTTTACCATTTTGTAAATTTTTTTTTATTAAATCAGACACTTCATTTTCAGGATTAAGAAAGAAAGAATTAGAATTAGCATTTTTTAAATAGTCAGAAAAGATACTTTTAGAAGAAATCATTTTATTTTTGGGTGGGTGTTGTATTGTTTCATAGTATTTGTTAAAAATGTTAGCAACAGCCATACTGTCTGAGATAGTGTTACCATTAGACTCGAGAGTGTAAGATTTAATTGGTGTAGAGGGTTTGATGTTAATAATTTCTTTTATTCTTTTCCATGTATTTTTTGTATTGTTGAGGTTTTTGTTAAAAAAGGAGATGTAGTATGACTTTTTGGAAATTCTTAATAAATTGCTAATTTAATGTGATCTGAAATTGATATTGTTACGTTACCAGAAATAAGATTAGGAATTTGAAAATTTAAAAAGATGTTATCAATAATTGTTTTAGATTTACAGGTTACTCGCGTTGGTTAAATTATTGTTGGGTAAAAATAATAAGAACAAAGTGAGTCAAGGTAATCAGAAATAATAAGGGATTCATTGTAGTTAAGTAAGTCCATGTTAAAGTCACCCATTAACATAACCTGTTTATTTTCAGAACTAAGTTTTTCAAGTAAAAGATTAAAACAATCAGAAATAAACTCTTTTGGGTTCATTGAAGGATGCCGGTATATGCAGCCAACAATGATATTTTTCTTAAAAGGATTGATGATTTCAATAAAGATAGACTCTAGGTATTTTAGGGCATATACTATAAGATCTCTTCTGATATTGTAGTTTAGATTGGATTGTAAGTATAGAAGAGCACCGCTTTTTTTAGCTTCAGTAGAGCATTGTTCAATGTTATAACCATTTATAGTAATGTCAGTTATATTGGGATCGTTAATGTACAATTTAGATTCCGAAATTCCAAATACTGTTGGAAGAATGGTAAGTGAACTTATGAGACTGCAAAGTTCATCAATATGAAAATGCAAAGAACCAATGTTTAGATGAAGTACAATTCAGAATTTGGTTTTAAAGTTTTATTGAGATCAAGAATATCGTAGTATTTGCAGTTGGAATAAGAATTAGAGATTTTATTTATATCCTTATAAAAGTTTTTGAATTGTAATGGACTTTCTAAAGAATTTAAGGTACTAGTTGATAGAGTTTGACATGATATAGTTAAAGAAAAAGTCCGAAAGTGTGCTAAATGGCATATTCTTAATTATGCAGTCACTACAATACCAGTCAGAAGAGTCTTTGACAAGAAGGTTATACGAAAATTTGTTGATTGAATTGCACTTAGCATGAACCCAAGAAGAACAGCAGTCACATAAAATGCCTCTTTGATGATTGGCCACTGCTTTATATATATATATATATATATATATATATATATATATATATATATATATATATATATATATATATATGTATATATATATATCGCCGTGGATAGCCTACCAAATGTGGGTGGCGGAAAAATAAAAATTATCTTACCAAAAGTTTTTTTTATTGGTTGAGAATATCACATGTCAAAATAAACAATATTTGTTATACCGTAAAATGAAGAAAATTCGACATATTATTTTTAAAAAATTAAAAAATTTCTGAATAAAAAATATAAAAATTCACTATCTTTAAAATAATAGTATCTTCAAATTAAAAAAATATAAAAGAACTATTTTTCTTCTTTAAATAAGTATTTACGTTAGACGGAATAAAAATAAACTTTGTTAAAATATTTTAAATGATTTTGGGTCACTTTTCTGTTTCTTGGCGATTTTAATGGAAGACCTGTCTTTGCTGGGTGTATATGAATACTGCACTGGACTACACTGGACCACACGGGAGTGTAAAAAACAATCTTAGTAGAGTGAAATATGCATAAGTTACATTCGTAATATATAAATGCAACAAAAATTTACACACACACAAAAAAAAAAATTAAATTTTTATAACAATTTTAATTGTGCACCCACAAGTAAAAATATGTATTTTAGTCAGAATTTTATTGCATTCGTGTATTTCATTCTTGGGCGCGCACCCCTATCACATATTAATGTTTTTGATTTTTTTGAAAAAAAAAAATTAATTTTCATAAATGTGTTTTGATTTAAACAGAGCGGTAGGCTTTTTTACGAGATTAATAAGTTATTCTTTTAGACTGCTTGCCCTAACCAAAAACCCTTTGCACCTGCATGTACACTCTACTGCGCCTGTACCTATTTTAGTCAGTTGATTTATGGAAACTCCACTGTGCCTGTCCCCTATTTTATTCAGTCGATGTATGCATACTCTACTGTGCTTGTCCTTATTTTAGTCAGTTGAAGCATGAATCACAGCCCCTGTTGCTATTTTTAATTTAAATTTAGTTTTTTTTTAATTTTATTGTATATATGTATCACAAGTATAATTTACGTATGTTTTGCTCTAACAAAATTGTTTTTTATACTCCGGTGTGGTCCGGAGTTAGTCTGGTGTGGTCCGGTGTCGTATTCGTATACACCGGTCTTGGTGTATACAAATACTACATCAAGATTTATTGTGAGTCTTAAGCTACATGCTTGATTGTTGAAACTTTATATACTTATAAACGAATGTCTATTTTATTAGATTTTTGGTGGGCATTGATGAAAAAAAAATTTTAAGTTAGATTTTGTAGCGTTTACATTTTTTTTATTACTTGTTTTTGTAATGTTCACTAAATTATTGAAACTACAACCTTTTATGCACATGAAAATCAAAAATATTACTTTCTGTACTTCTAGCTATAATATCAGATATGTCTTTAATCTTGGCAGGTTTAGCAACAAAATTTTTAGTTACATGCGTAAAATTTGTGTTGACCTTCAAAAGCAATGACTTAACTTTAAATGTTACTTCCCAATTTACTATGTAATTAAATTTATTAAAACAGCTTTTTTAGTAAGACAAATTTTAGATACCCATTCGATTATTATCATCAGAAGTTAGTTCTACCTCTGCAGTATCTCTACTCAACATACCTTCTCTCTGGTTAAATAATAAAATTTAAGTCTCATAAATAACAAGTTAGTGTTAAAATATAGTTTAAATGAAGAATTTGTAAAAGTTATTGTCACTATTGTGAGTCTGTTGAACAAAAACTAATCTTCTGGTTTAGAATGGAGCATGAATCTATTATTAACTATATTATAAAAACCGTATGCATAGAAATTTATTTTGTAATGCATTGAATTTATCAACTTAGTGAATTATTTTCTAAAACAAGAACTTCTAGATTTAAAAACGTACTTATTTAACAGCTAATCCCCCTTTTAACGACATTCATTTTTTTTTTTTTAAATGTGGTTTGCTTGCAGACTTCAATAAAGACTGTTTTAGTTAACCTTTAACAATTAAGTAAGTTTTTTTTTATTTAACAATAGTCAAACAATGAGTTTATTTGATAATAACTATCAGAAATATATTTTTCTGATTGTTTTTTGATAAAAAGTTACAACAAATGACTAAAATTTCGCCAAGTTAATCATTTGTTGCGTTTTTTATAAACTAAAAGAAATTTTTTTACTATTGTATAAAATGTGGTATGATAAAACATATTGTTGTTTTTATTCTTTTTACAAAACAAATTTATCTCTAATATTTCAAAAGTTATAAACGTTTTATTAACACTCCTTAAGTCAATATTTAAAAAAAAAACAACAAGAGGTCTTAAAACTCACTTTGAAACAGCCGTATAGCAAAAACATTTACTGATAATATTTTTAGATCACCAAGCATAAGCATATTAAATATTTAAAATTATGTCTTTTTTATATATACAACTATTACCAACCAATTATATCATGATGCCAATTAGTCATTTGCTATAACAACCTTATAAGTTCTTATTGCACACAACTTTCTATTTTAACAAACTTTGTTTATTACAAATTTTCTTATTATTTTTGAGCAACTATGTTGCCATAATTAAATTCTAAACTATTTTCCATTTGTCGTTTTGTCAAGACAGTGCAAAGTTGAGTCATTAGCAAATAGAGCCATTTTAAATGTAAGTTTTTCAGGAAGCTCATTAATATAGATAAGAAATAAAACAGGATCAAGGATAGAACCTTGAGGTTTAATCAGAAGTTAAAAGAAATGAAGAAAAGTGTTTGCCTTCAAGAATGACTTTAATAAAGTAGTTAAAAAGAAATGACTTGATAATCTCAAAAGCCTTTCCAGAAAAACTATGGCCATATATATATATATATATATATATATATATATATATATATATATATATATATATATATATATATATATATATACACACCTAGTGGCAAGAATATAGCCACTAGGTTTAAGTTTCCAATAAAATTTTATTCTGATAAAGTAATCTGTCTGATACACAAACAGGAGATAAAAATCTAGTTGCTCCAGCTGGTTTTTATTTTATACTAATTGGATATTTAATGGTATTGATATGTTTATAACTAAACCATGTTTGTTATAGTGAAATTTACTTTGTTGAAGTAAAGCTTATTTTTTCAAGCTCAATTATTCAATTAAGTTTTGTGCTGCATTAATTGAATATAAAATGTTTAAAATTCTGCTTTATAAATATTGTGCTGATAATATTTAGAAATACAGTACTCTCTCTAATTTTCAAATATTCTTCTCAAGTAACAAATAGAAATCAAACAAACAAACAAATAGTAATTTTTAGGCCTAAATGCAATATATATTATGTGTTTCAAACTTTTACATTTAAAAAATAAAGTCAATAATAGTAGACTACTTTTTATGAGCTTGTAAATCCATGCCACAATTTTTATCTTCAAGTATCTTTGCAAATTATCTAGAATGTTACAATAAAAACTGTAATTTTCAAGTACAGTGATAGCATGTAATGCTTCTTTGCTTTTTTGAAAATTAAACTTTACGTCAATTTCATTAATCCACTCCTCAATTAATTGTGCCAACAGCCAACTTTTTGATTGGGCCCGATAATGACAAGGAATATTTTTCACACGTTTGAAACATCAAGGAGACTTTGATTTTCCAATTACAAACATTGAAAGACTTTCTCATTTAACATTACCTGCGGCCATCCTCGTCAGGCGAACCTTACTATGCTTGCCTCCTGTGGACTTTTCATTTTTTAAATGTAAACTTGTGTTAGGCAAACATTGATAGAAAAGTTCGAATTCATCTGCTCTTATAATTGGTTCAATAAACATATGTATAAGTTATGTCTAACCAATTATAAATCATGCAATTTATAATTAGTTAAACATAACTTATACATATGTTTAAATATAACTTCAACGTCTTTGCAAGTTTCCAAAATATCTGATTCTGGAATTTATTTATTTTATTTTCTTTAAAAAAAAAAAAACGCTGTAAAATAATCATATGTAAGCTGTAAAATAATCATATGTAAGCTGTAAAATAATCATATGTAAGTTGTAAAATAATCATATGTAAGTTGTAAAATAATCATATGTAAGCTGTAAAATAATCATATGTAAGCTGTAAAATAATCATATGTAAGCTGTAAAATAATCATATGTAAGCTGTAAAATAATCATATGTAAGTTGTAAAATAATCATATGTAAGCTGTAAAATAATCATATGTAAGCTGTAAAATAATCATATGTAAGCTGTAAAATAATCATATGTAAGCTGTAAAATAATCATATGTAAGCTGTAAAATAATCATATGTAAGTTGTAAAATAATCATATGTAAGCTGTAAAATAATCATATGTAAGCTGTAAAATAATCATATGTAAGCTGTAAAATAATCATATTGTAAAATCATTAATCATAAAAATTGTATAAAATAAAGTAAGAAATTAATTTACTTTTTCTTTAATTTGTCTATATATTTAATTTGTCTATATATAGCCATCCATTTGAAAATTTGAAAAAAGAATTTGGCGGGTTAATGAACTTTTTACACGTCAGAAAATAAAAATGTTCAATTTAAAGAGAGAATTTTACTAATAGGTCTGAAAAATCCATTCAAATTATGGAGGTTTTGAGTTATAGAGATTCAAATTATAGAAAGTTAAACATAAGAGTTTCTTAAGTGCATTTCACTGTGACTTTGCATTTAATCAAATTAAAGAGATTCGAATTAGAGAGATTGTACTGTAGAAGACTTATTATAAGGTGGTTTGGTGTCATATTGTATTTTCTCAGTACAGTTATCAAGATCTATATCGTAAATGATTGTATTAATAGTGAAATGATTGTTGTTTTTTTACATAAAGCTTCATAAGATACTTTTCTCTTCTCTATTTTAGAACGAACTAGAAGGTGGAGTTATGAAATCAAATGGATTAGGCTAATCCATTAGCTTTAATCTGGTTTCTACGCCTTCTACTTTTAAAAATTGATTTTCCAAAAGAAACTCTATAAACTTTAAATCCGCATCAGTTTTCACATCTTTTTGAGTAACTAGTTTCACAACAATTGTTGAAATAATTTAATTCTTGTTAAAAAATAAAATAGTGAATAAATTTCCTAACGGAACATACAAATATCACAATTTTTTACTGGAAAATTTCTGAATATCTGTTTTTTTCTGCCTACTAGTATGTGTGCGCTATTTTTCTTGAAAACTAGAATGTAAACATTCGCAAAACATATATACACTAAATTTTAAATACGCAAGTTGTTTTTAGGAATTTTTTTAATAAAGAAATCTATTTGAACAAAAGAATTTTAGTTTTCTAAAATTTGAATGATTAAATTATTTAAATATTTTGTGATTAAAATTTATAATTAAAAAAAAAATCATAAGCTCAATAATTAAAAATTTCATTGCAGCGGTGTCCATAATACCCAGTAGCAGAGCAAGGATCATTCCTTAAAGTTAAACATATATCTAGCTACAGTAACAATATCAGATTTAGAGCATAGTGCAAGTGAGAAAGAAAGTTTTATTTAAATTGTACATTTTGAATAGTTAATTGTTTTTTGTTTCTTTTTAAAATAGTTTTAAAAGTAGAAACATTCTATTGCAAACATTAAACCAGTGATTATTGCAAATGTTAAACCAAAAATTAAATTAAAAAAAAATTGTTTTACTTCTGCTCAAAGCAATTTTTTTCTAAAAAAAATAATTTATGCAAAAATACTTTAACTTAAGGAAATATAATTCGATTTATTAGACCAAATTTTTTTCTTTCACTTTTTATTGCAAAACAAAATGAATGAAAACATCAATTTAAAAACCATTTGAATAAAAAAATAATCATACTTAAGTTTTTAATAGTACAATCAAGAAACAAAAAATTATAAAAAGCGTGGCAAATGGTTTTATTAATATTATTATTATAATTATATGGTCTATAGATTATAGACACGTATGGTCTATTGGCATGTTTTAGTGCAAGTATGAAGTTTTAAGTTTTATGACAAGAATGTTTTAAATTACTAGATACTTGCTCATTACATTATAACTGCAACTTAAATTTTAAATTATAGCTCAAGTTGTAAAATTATAACAGTAACTTACGCTATTTTAAACTGCACCAAACAAGAAAATTATAAGATAATATTTAAATATGAGAGACAGTATGTTAAAAAAACAACAATTACGAACTAATGTAGATACAATTTTATATTAACATTAATTAGATAAGATTTTATATTAACGCTACTTCTGATCCTTGGCACCGCTTTGCGGTAAGGGGGGTTGAAATTTTTTTTACAATTAGAATTTTTTGCAATAATTATAGAACAGTTTGTAGCATAATACTTATATTTATATGATTGTAATATACTTTTTGAACTGTTGTAATTAGTAAAAATTTTGAGAAAAATTTGATGACTGGTTGAAAGGCTTTTTTATAAATTTGTTTTTATTTTATCATTTATATTTAAAATTTTACCATTTTGAATTTTGAAACAAATAATACAAAATTAATTTTTAGCTTTAATAGTCGATCACAAAACAAAACTTATTGACTTGAAGTTGAATATTCAAAGAACATTAAGTAGAAAAATTAAAGAAGAAAAAGGGACAAGTTGTTTGAGTTGGTAAGCAAAATATGAATAATTAATTTCATTTTATTGCAATGTTTTTGTTTTCAAAATGATATTGTATATTGAATTTTAGCATTTTTCTTTGATTAATCTTTTTCCAAATCACAATTGTTAGATTCATTTGAACTTTTGATGTTAATTGAAAAATCAATAATAATCAAATGATTGATAGTTTTTTTTTATTATTTTTATTACATTGTCTAAATACCTTCTGTTTACTTTTGACTTCTGAGCAGGTTTAGTTTCATAAATTTAGACCTGGTTTTTATTATCAATTAATAAATTATTTAATTAACAAAAGTTATGAAGGTATGTGCACATGATAAAAATTTGATCCTGAATTCAAAATTAACATCAAAATATTGGTTTTAAAAGTTTAAAATGGTTAAATTTATCAGTATATAATAATTTTGTTATGCAAAAATTAGTCCAACAAACTGTATCATTACTATTATAAGTTAGTACTTCTAATAATATTCTAAATATATTATAATAAATACATTTATTTATAAAATAAATGTATTTAATAGTTTTGTTTGATAAATATACCATTTAAATTTTATAGCATCAGGAATAACAGCATCAAGTATATAACAGTATCAGACCCATGGTCATCTACTACAACAGAGAGCCACTCAACTAAAACATCCCAGTCACCATTACCATCAGAACCGGAATCTACATAAAAATCAAAAACTCAAAATGATCCGATTAGATGATATATTTGATTTAAATATTATTGTATGGAATTTTCCAATAAAAATTGTGCTCTTATCAAATAAGCAATCACTATTTAAAAATTCTTGCCTAATGTTTTCTTCAACCATAAATCTTTCATCACTGTTGCTCATCTCCAGCATAAATAAACAGTATACCTAAAGGTAGAAAAAATCTATTTAATTCAATAATACTACTACTTTTAATTAAAAGAGTATCTGACCAAACCACAACCCTCAGTTGTTGTATCTACATGTTGATTGTAAACTCAACTGCGCCTAAATCTTACTTAGTCAATGTGTGCACTCTGTTAACAGAGTAGTTACAGCCTGTTAACAGACTGTTACAGCCGTAGGCGCAATGCTTTGCGCCTACAGCAGTAACAGAGAGGCTTTGTATTTATATTGTCCAAGTGCAGAACTTTATTTAGTTGGTGCATTGAAGTGTGTAGCAACAAAAAAAACCTTTGTGCACTAAAAGAAATTAAAAAAATTTTGACACAGAGAGACAAACCTCAAACTCTTAGTTTATATATATATATATATATATATATATATATATATATATATATATATATATATATATATATATATATATATATATATATATTAAGGAGGTGTTTTTTTTCAAAAAATTTCAAAAATGATCATTATTTTATAAAAAAAACATTGAGAAACAAAAATTATAATAAAAAAAATCTATATATATATATATATATATATATATATATATATATATATATATATATATATATATATATATATATATATATATATATATACAACCGTCGGAATTAGGAAAAATGAAGTCTGCAAATTATTGCCGACCTCAATCTTTTTGGGGTCCGCATCAGATCGGCAAAAATTATTTGATACCATGGACTGACCATAAAACATAGAAACCAGGTCAACAATAAGTTTGATGATTTTAGGTTTCTAAAATCAATCTTTCCAATACTATCCTTTAACTCAGTATCAAATTTTGATTACAAACACATACCTTCATATCTTTAAGATAATTATTTTCTTATTAATTAAGAATACTTGTTGATTGTTAAAAACAACCAGGTCTAAATTTAGGAAACTGGATCTCTAGAAAAAGAGATTAAATAAGAATTACAGGGGTTTAGTGGTTAAAATCTAAAATTAATTCTTAGAAAAAACGATTTTTCATTATAATTATGTCACTAAAGACAGACAACCCTAATAACTACGGTAACTTGGTAACTATGATTAACTTGGTAACATGTTAAATTTTGGTTTTAAATTTGTTAATTAATCAGAGTTTTTCAGTTTATTTCTTTTTTTTTTTGCCTTTTTAAATTTTAGGAAATATTTTTGGAAAACATACTGGCTTGTACATAACAATGAAAAATTAACTGATGGCTCAAAGACTATGAAGGCGTATGTAGTTTTTGTTTTGAAGTTAAATTTTTTTTTATAGTTTCATGTTATTACATTATTTATACGACAATGGCGTGATGGTTTATTGTATTCTTGCTTGTTGATTGTTGCTAAGCAAAAACTTGTAAAAAAAAATAATGAGCTGGTTAAATTGCACAAAGCAAAAAGTAGCAAAACACTCAAATTATAAGAAAAAACTTATTTAAAATCTCTGCATTTTTTAAATCTCCAAACATTAGATAATATTTTTTAAAAACCTTTTTTTTTTTCACCAGCTGCATTCACACTTTTTGTCGAAGCTAAAGAAAGAGCTTCATGTTATTCAGAGCCCAGTTTTCTTATCTTTTCTCATTTTGCTTCGATTAGCTATAGCTTCTCATGGTATCTTCCGGATCCACACTGTCTACTTTTTACTGTCAAAAGAATTCATTGAGGCTCTTTTTTTTATAAATATGTATCATTGCAGGTAATCCTAGGATCCTTTTTGTATTTTTAAAGTAGACTTGTTAACTGATAAAAATACTTTTTTCCTTAGAAATCAGTGGAACATTTTTTTAGATGATGTTTACACACTTAAATTCATATATAAGTTATATTTTATATGCTAAACATTTTTTAAACGAAGCATCCACAAAAAAATTTTTCTTTTATACATTTAAGTTATATAGTCAAAAAATATTATAAGTGAACTACTGTTTATGTTTACACTGTCAAAATATTATAAGTAAGCTACTGTTTATGTTTACATTGTTTTTTAAAGAAATAAAAATCTCACATTTTTCGGATTTCTTTGCAAGTTATTGAAAATTTTAATTTTTTTTTTTTTACCTATTATATTTTTTTAAAAATCTTTATTTTTTACAAAATGTTCTATTTACGCTATAATAAAAAAATACTTTTTTTAAGCTTCGTTATAAATTAAAAGTTATTTTTAGCAACATAATAATAAAAAAGTTGCTTTTTTTTATTTAGCTACGGCATAAAAGAAAATGCTGAAATTATGTTCGTCAAACGTTTAAGAAAGACCTAAATTTTTTCAACAACATTCTTTGCGAGACTGAACTTAAAATATAAGAGCTTCTGGAATGAAGTATCAAAGCTGAACGAATGAATTCAAGATTTTTTGGGTTGGTTCAATTTGATGGAATTCACATATAATTTTTTTTTTAATCATTGTTTTCATTATTTTTAAGTTGAGTTTGATTTGAGAAACGTTAACAGATATCAGTGACCATTTCCCTGTTTTTTTAACTACAAATACTAAATGCTGTATAAATAAAAAAACCCATAACAGTATACATAAGGCATGTAAACAAAGGCTCGTTTGCGATTTTTAGACAGCTTTTGCGTGAAATCAATTGGGAGTTATTGAATGATTGCAATGACACATGTAGCGCATACGATTTCTTTATCCGCGTCTTTACAAGGCAATATGAAAAGGCTTTTCCTAAAGTTCAGAAAAGTATAAAATCCAAAAGTGTGCATAGCCCGTGGATGTCTAAAGGTTT